ATCATTATGCAATATAATGATAAGTTTGTAGGCTCACAGCACACAGGGGTTGGGGATAGCCCTACCAGCAAGGTGTTGCAGGCCCACAATTTTCACAAAAGATGTAAATACATTATGCCATGCACATATATCATAATTTAAAGCCTAGTTGACGCATACATTGGTTATAGTAATATTTGCCATTTGTAAGAATGTAAATATGGTACAATATGGCGACATAGCAATCATAAAAAATAATAGGTACAGTATTTGTAGTGAAGGTAAATCATTATAAGTATATAATATGTCCATACTAAGGGCAAGTATATTATATTATCTAGGGACTAAATTTCATATTACTGATACATGTAAGTACTTTGCGAATACCGTTAAAGTACGTATATGTTACGTTGGTAAATAATGCGTGAATGGATATCTACATTCAACTAAAGACAAATATAGTATTTCTACGCAGTTTAGAGCGAGTATGGGTAAGTAATTTATGATTACATTGGTAAGAGGTACAAGATTTGCAATGAAAGTACATCGTGACCAAGTGATTGAGAACGAGATTGTTGTTAGAGTAAGCACAGTCAAGTTATTTTTACAAATGGAAATGGATACGATCATGCAAATCGTTCACTTTTCATTATATATTCTTGAACAGCTGATACGATTTCCTCGTTTTGCTGTATAGTTAAATCGGGATTTCCCCAGAGTAGACATTCAGTATTTAAATCATAATTGAGTGCCCAAATGTATTGTTCTCTTATGTTTGTGTATTTTTCACAAGCAAATAAATAATGAAAGTTGTCTTCAATATAGCCGCATGTACAAAAAGGATCGTCGCTAATGTTTTTCTCAAAGAGGTGTGCTTTTAAGCTGCTACATAGTAGTCTAAGTCTCGAATGGTATATTTGGGCTGTTCTGTTTCCATAGGATCGGTAACTAGGCGATTTACCTTTGTCTCTATAAAGATAATGTTTAAGGACAGACACAGAGGGGTTTTCTCGTATAGTGGTAGGTAGATTGTTCCACAAATGGACAGTAAAAGGAAGGAAGGAGTTAAAATCTATTTAAAAGAATTTTCACATTGTCTTTTCAAAACATTAACGAAACTCGTTGGGCCATATTCAAAAATCAACGAGGGAGATTGTGGTATGTTGTACCTGGCAAAATGAGATTTTGGTTTATATAAAATTTTATGAAACGAGTCTTTGCGAACAAAGAGAAAAACTTCGAGACTGGTTTTAGTAATTTTTTTTATGAAATGAAAACAATTTTAAGATGGTGTTTATTACATAACTAAAAATGTACAGGGCAGAAAAAAATGGAAGTAGTTATTTTATTTCGCGATATCTGATTAAAGATGTTAGATCATTGTCCATATCATGGCATCACAATCGCTTTCGTATTGGTGCAGCCAATAAAACAATCTGTTTTGTATGATCAACAGGCAGTCGATTACTTGATTAAAAATGGAATATCGGGTATGTTTACATGCGATCGACATTGACCAATTCCCAACATCACAAAGATCAAACGCTTTACATTATCTGTTCATTTGAATAGCCACGGAGTCGTGATATTTGTCCAGTAGTATGCTAGGACTAGGGAAATAAAGTTTGTTTAAATGGTTGACCTTGACAACAAACACCTCAAGTCACTGTTATCGAATGTATTCAAACGTCTAAACAACAACAGAGAGACATATCTATATATATAATTTATAATATTTAGGAAGTGGTTTGCCTAGTTGAATTAATATCCTGTTTTATTCACATGAATGTCCATTATCAAATGTTATATAGGGCGCCATTGTGTTAAAATGTCAAAACTACTTCTGATTTTAAAAAAAATCCCGATGAAACCCAATTTCGCGATATGTGAACGCCTTTAGCATGCTATGAGGACCATTCATCAATTGTTCAGATGCATGGCCGTGAACTTTTTCAAAATTACGTGGTTCAAATGCTTTTTAAATTATTGGATGAATTCCTCAGAATTGATGACGTATTTAAAACATATTTGCAAAAAAGATATTTTGCTTGCAATAAGATAGATTAAAAGAAGAAAAAGGAAAAAGATTTAGGCGATTTCGGTACCACCCATTCAAACATAACGGTTGAAACATTTGTTTCTTGACCAGCTCATTATCATTATCATTGTTCTTAAGTTACATAACGGAACCACTCTCTACTTAAAGGCGACAGAGAAATATGTTCCGTACATAGACTGAGAGAGCCGCTTGTCTCATGGTTCCACTTTTAGCACTATTAAAAAAACATTGTTTGACATGTGCTGTTCACCTTCTTGACATGACATAACTTACTTGGATCGAAATGGCGCGTGCCGTCGATAAAACAGAAGAGGTTTTCTATTCCGAAACACAAGCTATTGTTCTTCAAGTACTTTTTTCAAAGGCATCCTAAATAAATAAATAAATTAATTAATTAAATACGTAATTATAAGTAATCAACAGTACTTTTAAAACGAATATTAAGATATCAACGAAAACGTCAATTTTACTAAACTGTCAATTTAAAGGTTTTCTTTCTCAGTATACTCAGTGTAACACGTCTGATTGACACACCCAGTATACCCAGTGTTACACGTCTGATTGACACACCCAGTATACCCAGTGTTACAAGTCTGATTGACACACCCAGTATACTCAGTGTTACACGTCTGATTGACACACCCAGTATACCCAGTGTAACACGTCTGATTGACACACCCAGTATGCCCAGTGTTACACGTCTGATTGACACACCCAATGTATTCAGTGTTACACGTCTGATTGACACGCCCAGTATACCCAGTGTTACACGTCTGATTGACACAACCAATATATTCAGTGTTACACGTCTGATATACCCAGTGTAACACGTCTGATTGACACACCCAGTATACCCAGTGTTACACGTCTGATTGACACACCCAGTATACCCAGTGTTATCGTCTGATTGACACACCCAGTATACCCAGTGTTACACGTCTGATTGACACACCAAGTATACCCAGTGTAACACGTCTGATTGACACACCCAGTATACCCAGTGTTACACGTCTGATTGACACACCCAGTATACCCAGTGTAACACGTCTGATTGACACACCCAGTATACCCAGTGTTACACGTCTGATTGACGCACCAAGTATATCCAGTGTTACACATCTGATTGACACACCCAGTATATCCAGTGTTACACTTCTGATTGACACACCCAGTATACCCAGTGTTACACGTCTGATTGACACACCCAGTATACTCAGTGTTACACGTCTGATTGACACACCCAGTATACCCAGTGTTACACGTCTGATTGACACACCCAGTATACCCAGTGTTATCGTCTGATTGACACACCCAGTATACCCAGTGTTACACGTCTGATTGACACACCCAGTATACCCAGTGTTACACGTCTGATTGACACAACCAGTATACCCAGTGTTACACGTCTGATTGACGCACCAAGTATATCCAGTGTTACACGTCTGATTGACACACAGTATACCAGTGTTACATGTCTGATTGACACACCCAGTATATCCAGTGTTACACGTCTGATTGACACACCCAGTATACCCAGTGTTACACGTCTGATTGACACACCCAGTATACTCAGTGTTACACGTCTGATTGACACACCCAGTATACCCAGTGTTACATGTCTGATTGACACACCCAGTATACTCAGTGTTACACGTCTGATTGACACACCCAGTATACACAGTGTTATACGTCTGATTGACACACCAAGTATACCCAGTGTAACACGTCTGATTGACACACCCAGTATGCCCAGTGTTACATGTCTGATTGACACACCCAGTATACCCAGTGTAACACGTCTGATTGACACACACAGTATACTCAGTGTTACACGTCTGATTGACACACCCAATATATATCAGTGTTACACGTCTGATTGACACACCAAGTATACCCAGTGTTACATGTCTGATTGACACACCCAGTATACCCAGTGTTACATGTCTGATTGACACACCCAGTATACTCAGTGTTACACGTCTGATTGACACACCCAATATATCAGTGTTACACGTCTGATTGACACACCAAGTATACCCAGTGTAACACGTCTGATTGACACACCCAGTATACCCAGTGTAACACGTCTGATTGACACACCCAATATACTCAGTGTAACACGTCTGATTGACACACCCAGTATACCCAGTGTTACATGTCTGATTGACACACCCAGTATACCCAGTGTTACACGTCTGATTGACACACCCAACATACCCAGTGTTACACGTCTGATTGACGGATATCTAACAGACACGAAGATCGATCCTCTATCAGCGGTGACACTCAGCGTTATCTCAGTATGCTCAACATCAGCAGCAGTATATTCGGCGCGAATCCACACAGCGGCGGCAGTCACCGGCGCTGTCTGTTTGAACGATAGGATTACACTTTCAAATACCTTCGAGGTTTTCTCTGATACTTGAAAAAGTGGATATAATCTCGTACCCGATGGGAGTTATTTTTAAACAGTGTTTTGTGTACACGTCTTCTTCAGCTGGTATCGCTGATGTATACAGAAGTAATTCTGCGCTCAGTTAGGTTAGACACACGGCCTTATTTTGTCTACCATAACAGAGTATTTTGCACATAACTTGGATATCGTCCACCGACGGAATTTCTTTCTCGCGTTATTAATCATATCTTTAGTCGCAAAACTAATTCTAACAATTTTTGGAGGAATTAATGTTTAATGACAAAAAAAAAAAAAATCAAATCGTACGTTGAATACTTTTTTTTAAAAATACGTGTATTATTACTATCACTAACATTTAATGAATATATTTATTTTGATTTCATGTGATTCAATTAATTCTAAGTATTTGTATTGATAATGGTTTCATAAAGAATCCATGATACTATAAATCTTATGTCAAATAATTTTAAGATAATTCCTCATTTTCTGCAACAAATAGTTACAAAAAGAACTGATTGTTAGGAGGTAACCTTGACAACAATTGCCATGGATCTCTTGGGACATTTTGATTACTCGTCTTATGATAGTTACAATATATCTATTTGGAATGATACCTATCAATATTACCCGGATACTTCTAACAAATCCTGGAATTCCACAGGACAAGTGGAGTTGTACTATGTTCCAGTAGGGCTTATTGTTCTATTGGCTTTCCTGTACGGCTCTATCTCACTATTTGCCGTCATTGGTAACGGTATCGTCATTTACGTCATCATGGCGAATAAGAAGATGCAAACAGTGACAAACATTTTCATCGCTAATCTAGCCCTTGCTGACGTCATCATAGGTCTTTTTTCGATCCCGTTTCAATTCCAGGCGGCCCTTTTACAACGCTGGGTACTGCCCTATTTTATGTGCAGATTAGCCCCGTTTGTCACCAATATCAGCGTCAACGTCAGCGTTTTCACTTTAACAGTTATAGCGATCGACCGTTACATTGCTGTCATCTACCCTCTAAAGGCGGGGTTTAAGAAGCAAGTAGCTGCCGTAGTACTTGCTATCATTTGGGTTGTTGGAATATCGTCCAGTTTGCCGATGGTTATCCACTTCCGGGTCGGATTAAATTTGACCCCTAAAGGAGACAAGATTCCATTTTGTAATCCAAAATGGCCGAAAAGTTTTGGAAGATATTACTATATGTATTTGTTGGTCGTACAATATTTGATTCCACTTATCATCATCAACTTCTCTTACTTTCGGATTGCCTTTAAGATCTGGGGTACTAAGGCACCAGGACAGGATATAGACCGGAGAGACAACGTAAGAACGAGGAACAAGAAAAAGGTAAGAGGACATTTTTCTTTATTTCTTATCTTTCATAACAGGTGAAGAGAGAGAGACAGAGAGAGAGAGAGAGAGAGAGAGAGAGAGAGAGAGAGAGAGAGAGAGAGAGAGAGAGAGAGAGAGAGAGAGAGAGAGAGAGAGAGAGAGAGAGAGAGAGAGAGAGAGAGAGAGAGAGAGAGAGAGAGAGAGAGAGAGAGAGAGAGAGAGATATTAGTCGAAGTGCATTAGCTAGATTTTAGACCCGTCTCCGTTCGAAGTAACTAATCAAACAAAGAGCGTTAATATTCCCTCATTAGCTAATGCTGTGCTTTGTCGACGACAGGGATATTTACCGAAGAGTACTTAGCAGCGTAATGTACGCTTGTCTGTATACGGGTATGAAATAAAAGCTTAAGGCAAAATATGCGTAGAATTTCAAAACGCAACCGGATTGGTCAAAAATCAATATATAGGATGAATATTTAATAAGATTCTCCGCCTGTCCTTTTTGTTTGTTAGATGTTCAACATTCTTCTTTAAGAAACTCGTCACGAATTTTTCCTTTGAGCTACTGGGAAAAAAGTTTCGTAGATGTTACACACACGTATTTGTGATGTTAAACACACGTATTTGCTATGTCATACACACATATTTGTGATGTCATACACAAGTATCTTTGATATATGCGATGCTATACGTACCTAGCTGTGTTGTTTTTTTTTTCAAAAATCTGATCCTATTCAAAGGTATCATTGATGCTATGTTCACATATATCTCTTGTAATACACACGTATCTTTGATGAAATAAACACGTATCTTTGATGTAATACACACGTATCTTACATGTAATACGCACGTATCTTTGATGTAATACACACATATCTTTGATGTAATACACACGTATCTGATGTAATACACACGTATCTTTGATGTAATACACACGTATCTTTGATATAATACACACATATCTCCGATGCTTTACACATGAATATCTGATGGAATACCCACATTTCTTTGATTCAATACACATATCACAGCAGTGCAGGCGACATCTGTACTATTATCTACGTAGTCACCGTCGGGGTTTTTGACGATATTTCTTTATGAGAATCGGAACTGTTTCAAACCCTTTGTCAAGTATAATCCATTACGGTATTTCTTTAACGGAAGGCAACAATAGCGTTATTTGTCACCTCCAAAGATCTTAAACAGAATTTCAAATCTGTACCGAATACAGTAGATTTTCTACCAATATTAAGTCCTTGCGATTTGCCAGTCGTAAAAATCGACTTCCGTGCTAATGTCACTTTATCTGTTAAAAGGTGTCTACACAGGCCAGAAAGTCTTTTGCTAAACCAGTCAGCCCTTTGGCTTAAGGACATTATTCAAAAATAATAATTAAGAAGATCTTTATTATAGGTGCCGCACCTTATGCAGAGATAATGGGAAATTTGCTGTCAGACATGCAACGGGAAAGAAAAAGTCTGACTTTGTTATATAACATGTAGCCGTTCTTTCTGAAACAGGATATGTCTAAGTAAATTAGAATCCAAGGACAATATATCAACCGCTTACCTCCTACGCCTCCAAGAGGGAGTGATATCTACCAAACTATTTGATGTAACTTTTCCCTTAATTTTCCATGTATAGGTAGTTACAATCCTGCTTCCCCAATCTATTTGTGTTTGCGTGTTGATTTGATATTCTAGAATTTGTCGGTCTCAGTACAAGATGACACAGATTAACTCACAATATGTTGTTTGATAGTTGAAGGTTGATGAAGACCATGGATATAGATCAATTGTCATTGACGATTGTTCTGTTATACAACATACAGCTAGATATAGTCGATAGTTCATGATATACCACATGATATCGTTTCACACAAAGCTGGTACTCGTCATGTAAACACGACATAGATTGACCTTATCTAGGAAACATTGACTCTTCTGGAATACCTTTTCATGATATAATTTAATTTTCTCAAGGAACTTCGTGTTGATCCTACCTTTATATTTTGCTTTCGTTAAATCATTTTTGAATTCGAATTAGAATTTTGGTTGTTGTTGTTGTTGATGATGATGATGATGATGATGATGATGATGATGATGATGATGATGATGTTGTTGTTGTTGTTGTTGTTGTTGTTGTTGTTGATGATGATGATGATGATGATGATGATGATGATGATGATGATTTTTATAAATTTGAAATGCATTTTCTTGTTTTGTTGTTGTTGTTGTTAATATTTATAAATTTATGCATTTTTTAATGTTTCGTTACTATCTAAGATGTCCTTGGAATATGTAAAGCCATGTTCCAAAGCAATAATCGACATTGCCGTTTGTATGTATATTAGAGTTGTATCTGCGTGTTTTAACAGAATATCATATGTTGTAGCCTTGTTTTACTTTTGAAATCGATATCAGGAAATTAACACGGATACCGTCAGGAAGGTTCGGCTATATACGAAATGCTTTTACTAAGATGGCGTTGTGTGTCAACTCCAACTACAACAACGTTAATTGTCTATTGGGCAATCTCGGATACACGGTTTACAACAACAAACATCGAGCTCTTAAAAGTCATATTACGGTTAGGGGCGAGTGGGTACGGGAGTCAGGAGTTCGAGCGCTCGTAGTAAATAAATAATAATTTGAAAGACTGGACGAAGAAATAAAATCCTCCCTGACCTGTACGGTTTTGAATCTGAAGACGAATTGCTTTGCTTTGCGTGTTTTCATGTTCGTGTTTGTAAACAAAGATTTCGGCTTTTTGTTTTTGTTTTTTTTTTAGTCCGTAAACAAAGTCTTTTACGGAATCCAAATTTCATTGATATAACATTGACGATAAAATCACCTCCAAAATACCCGATTTTACAATATTCTAATTGAATTTGTAATCTGTATGTTTGCAGGTAGAGTTACCCAAGCCTAGGATGTACCTTATGTTGAAGACTTGTTTACAAAGTAAATCTGTAATGACTTTGAAGTTTAAAACAATCACCAACCCAACCATATCATTATTTTATTCGCGGAAAATATTCGGCGTTTCAGTTCTACAGGATCTTGCTATTTCACTTTTTACCAGTGTTGTCTATTTCTTGTGGCAAAAATTCTGTGACACATCGCTAGAAAATTAATTTAACAAAAAAAACAAAAAAAACAAAAAACAAAAAAAAATATCGTCATGAAAATTTTTCATGACATGTTGTCTTTTAGGGGAAATTTAATTTTAAAAATGTTATTACGTTCAATTGGCTATAGCTATTTAATTCAATCGAAGGTGTTTGGTAAAACGGAGGTCTCTACACAGTAATAGGATCGTAGATTAGTATATAGCTAGTGAAATTCGATTATTATCGTTTGATGCTGACGATGAGGGTTACGTTGTACCTGTATTGAGAAACTTCGACATATTCCATACATTTCCATGTCGGTTTGTGCCAGCCATACATATCTGTAAAGTGGTGTGTGAATATATTCCTATTGTTAAGGGATTGTCGCGATAAAACAATGGGACCATATAAGACACAGCTTATAACATTATCACGTATATCACCAACAAGTATGACTCCTTGTTTTTTCATGACTTTTACACATGCAGATCTAGTCCCCGTATCTCTACAGAATAATGGTCAAGCTTTGCATGAACGACGAGAATTCGTGACTCATCGAGATCTTGTTACACTAGCCGATGGCGACTTGTATTAACTGGACTTCCTGTCGTAGTAAAATTAGTATACTGAACGAAACCTTGAATCCACCCTTGTATGTAGCACATTGATAAGTAATTTTTTTCAGGATTTTTATTGAATTTAACCATAAAAAATTGATCTGTTGCCCCCATTTAAAAACTTAGGATACCATCTTTTACATTTTCTCCCGTCTACTCAATCTTTCCCACTTGGTTTTCCTCTGTTGATGTCTCACTATACAACCGTCCTCATATGACCTTGTTGGTGTCTCACTATACAACCGTCCTCATATGACCTTGTTGGTGTTTCCTTAGACATCCCTCCTCATATGACCTTGTTGGTGTTTCCTAAGATACCCGTCCTCATATGACCTTGTTGGTGTTTCCATAGACATCCCTCCTCATATGACCTTGTTGGTGTTTCCTTAGACATCCCTCCTTATATGACCTTGTTGGTGTTTCCTAAGATACCCGTCCTCATATGACTTTGTTGGTGTTTCCAATTGATCAAAAAATGTCGGAATTTAAGTGGGGACATGCACTTACCCCATCAATAAAGATCTTTCACAGAAGCTTCAGAAATATTGTCTTTATTGATTTCATTTTAAAAAGTTATGAAATTTACGTGAGGTTCATTTGTTTTATCAGTGGTCGACGTGTAAATCATTCTTTCTGTCATGGTTCATCCAATTAAGTTTGAAATAAAATTCTGTTATCATTTCAGTATTTTCTTCATTTATTTAATTTGCTTTCAAAATGTCATCAATTGAATCTTTAGCACGTTTCCCGGCTTTTTTCTTCAATTTGTGCATATAAAGATAATTTTTAATATTTCGGAAAAAATGCTACAGTCCCCTACGTCATTTTTCCACTTCAAGGCATCAACTCCAGGACTGATTTTTACAACTTGGAATTAGCGCTTAATTAGAACTCGACATCTCCAAAGCCCAAGGGAGTGCCTTCCATTTTGTGTTCAGATTACAAAACGATGGTTTAAGGACGTAATTTTCGCAAAAAAGACTGATGGTATGATGTCACATTTAGAGTGATATCATTTTCTACGGTGTCGTATACGCAAACGACAGGAAAGTGACAAATTCAAGTTTCCAATAGTTTATCAAATCTGCAAACTTAAAATTTGATTTTGAACAGCACAAAGTTAATTTTGTAAATGTTGTAATTTGTGACGAACCAATAAATTTTCTGCGGATTCCATATTTTTTTCTGGTCAAAATGTCTGTTTTCTTTGTCTTCAGCCCCGTCTCTGCCGACATGCTGTCCTCTATGCGGGAAAATTATCCCATTGTCACATTTTGGTACATTTA